TTAATGGACACAATTATTTTACTTCTAATTCAAATTTAAAGGTATTAAATAATGAATAGCTTGCAGGTTCAAGTCCCGATGAGGTCATTGGATTTTTTCAGTTTACCTAATCTTTCCAGCCACACTAGGCCCTGGGGGTTTACTCAGCCTCTAACAGAAATGAGTACCAGGAATTAATTAAATAATTTTCCTGGGGAGTAAAGCACGGCCGGCACGTAAGGCTGACAACCGTACTGCCATCTTTGAGCCGACTGTCTAGATAATGTGGGTCCCTCAATGTCTCACAACCCTATGGGCCTTCATGGCCCGGTACAGGGATAGCTTTACCTTTTTTAATAACATACAATTTACAGTTAATAATTTAATGTAATTTATTATACACGTAATATTAAACATTCAGTTTTATTTCTTCCACTACTAGAGGTTAGGAGTTGGAAGAGCTCAGCTGGTAGAGTGGCAGGCTATGGGCTTGACACCCTGGCTTTTGATTACCAGCATGACAAAATTGTTGTTCTCCATAGCGCCCAGAACAGCCCTGGAGCCTACCCACCCTCCTATCCCAAAGGAGCAGCCAGGGAGTGAAGCTGACCACTCACTTCCCCATAATACATTAAACATAGGGACAATATTACCTTACTACTAGATGTCTGGCATGTTTACAATTATTACTACTATTGATTTTATAGCTTTCTTAAATTAAAAAGGACCACCTTACAAATTAATATGTAACAGAGAATTAGCGATCAGTATGTGCGTGTGCACGTGCATTAAAGTTGATAACAGTGTTGTTGAACAGTAAATTATAGAAAACTACATGTAAATAAAGAACTAAATTAATTCGCAAATGAACACAATACTTCAGCCATCATCTCACATGACAAGCATCCAAAGTGTTTTAACTCTGAATAACAAAGTAACTTCCCGTTTGCAATCTCTTTTACCAAGTCTGACAGCACCAAAGTCAGAGCTGTTATCAGAGTCAATGCTTGAAATCATTATTACCTACACGTAATGTTCACCGGAATCATTTTGGTTGGAAAATCACTGGCTTACTTACTTCTACTATATCTGAGAGAAGTATGAACTTCCTGCTTATTTCGTCGTAACATAATGTGGCAAGTCTATAGAAAGCCAGAACTGTGAAGCCATCCACAGTCACTCCATCACGTGACAATACAAAAGTTTCTGAACATGAATGATGAAGTTACGATTTTAAAGTCAAATCAAAATTTCCAGTGTTACCATTTTTCATCAGCAGAGGTGCTTTCCTCCAATATATGTATGAAGAGGTTGGATTTTACATTTCATTTCAATATTAATTCAAGAGTCCAATGTAATACACAGTTTTATAGTGCTTTAGTTTCAGTATTTCAAATTATGTTGCAACATCTGGAAAGTCAGCAAGCATGGAATAGCAATAAAAGACTTCAAGGGCAGGCTGCAAACTGACTGCCTGACTAACTCCTTGGAGACGAGCCCCTCTTGAGAGCCAGTTGTGCAGCTGCTCAAGAATTTCCCTACACTTGACTGAACCTGAAAGCTCAGCACTGTTTACAAGAGCCCTCCACTGGTCCCTATCCTCACCCAGATCAATCTACTCCATACTACCCCAGCCTATCTCTCTAAGATCCATTTTAATAATATCCATCCACCTACATCTTGGTCTTCCTAGTCATCTCTTTCCTTCTGACTTTCCCACTGATATCACATATGCATTCCACTTCTCCCCATTTGTGCTACATGCCCTGCCCAGGTTGCTCTCTACCTTCACAAACTGTCAATAAATTTTCAACCCTGCAAAATAACTCTATACAACCTCACAGATTAAAAGCAGAATTGCACTAAGCTTTAAAACCTATATCAGAGTATTAAACTGTTTCAATAATTTTACAGTAGATATTGCCATATAAAGTGTCTGTTAATTATGTAGTTCTATTACTATGATCATCTGTATTCTGACAAAAACATTCATGTCAATGTTCATAATTTCTCCAACGCACAGGGCTCAAAAGTGACCAATCTTTGACAGGGGTAGAAGAAACTTTAGTGAGTAGAAACAAGCATTAATAAGGCATGGTTTAGAAAATATAAGCTACTCTTTCCGTATTAAAAACTGTTATGTCTTCAATGCAGAATCTTGATTTTACTGATGACCGTACATGGATATGGTAGTTTCTCTACCAGATTGTCACTGAAATGTGGCCAAACTTTCATACACTGGAAACAAACCTCCACAATGTTGTCAGGAGGTTACCTTAGAGATTATAAGCTTCCTTCTCTGTTTTGAAAACCACACACATTCATTTAGTCTTTTGTTTTTAATCATGGTAGGTATAATTAAAAGAAAACTGTCCAAGCAAATGACACTTTTGCATCCGCTAGAAAAAAAAAACACGGCTAAAGAGAGAAGGTATACTTTTTATACTAAAGACATAATGTGTAAGTATTAAGAATAACAGTGGGAGACCTAGAAGGTATTATTTCAGTCCGAGCGCTGAAAACATGCAGAGTTGAAGCTGCACATTAACCCTGTAGAATCTAATCCCCTATTCAGTCACAGTGAACCTGCATCACCAGGAAACAGTTCAACTGAGATCACACTTTTCACAGAAATGTTACAAATTTACGGGTCCAGTGAAGTACTTGTAATGGTACTTTACTATACTATGTTACAGCATCCAGAAATCATAGCTGCGACCAAATATTACATTTCATTCAACCAAACCACACACATTTACATTAAAATTAATATATATATATATATACTGTATGTCCAAAATGTATCTGACTTTATTTTTTTCCGCTGTAAGTAATGGTCAAAGGGGTGGGGAAACTGGGCGTAGTGGTAGAAGGGACTTTCATGCGAATGCGTGATTTTTTGCTGACTCGCAACACTGCCGGATGCATCTGTGGCCGCCAGATAGCGAAGTGGTGTAACACATGTTCGTCACATTCTCGTTTCGCTCAAGATGACAGAACGCTTGGAGCAGCGATACTGCATTAAGTTTTGTCAGAAACTTGGGGATACACAAGCGGAAACAATCCGCAAAATTCAGCAGGCTTTCAGTGATGATGCAATGGGGGTCACTCAAATTAAAGAGTGGTTCAACCACTTTAAACATGGCCGTATGTCGGCGGACAGTGAGCAGCGTTCCGGGAGACCGTCGTTTGGCCATCCATGAAGTTGCTGATGAGGTTGGGATCAGCAGAGGTTCTGCAAACACAATTTTAACTGAGGATTTGGGCATGCGAAGAGTGGTGGCAAAATTTGTGCCCAAGCTGCTTTTGCCGGAGCAGCGACAACTCTGTCTTGAGGTCACGCAGGACATGCTGGAGTGCACCAACAGGGATCCTGAGTTCCTGAAGACTGTGATCACTGGTGATGAGTCATGGGTGTACTGATATGACCCAGAAACCAAGGTCCAGGCGTCATAATGGAAGCATCCAACATCCCTGAGGCCCAAAAGAGCAGGACAGGTTTGGAGCAATGTGAAGGTGATACTGACTGTCTTTTTTGATTACCGGGGTGTGGGGCATCATGGGTATGCACCACTAGGCCAGACTGTCAATAAGGAGTACTACCAAGAAGTCCTCCGCCATCTTCGTGATGCAGGCGCAAGAGACCGGAGCTGTGGGACGCACGCAACTGACAGCTGCATCATGACAACGCCCCAGCTCATTCATCACACCTGATCCAGGGTTTCCTGGCCAAGCATGGCATTCCGTAGGTTTGCCAGGCTCTCTACTCTCCTGACATGGCTCCTTGTGATTTCTGGCTGTTCCCAAGATTGAAGACACCGCTAAAAGGCTGCTGTTTTGACAGACGCAAGGACATCATACAGAATGTGATGGTGCAGCTGCACGCCATTCCAAAAGAAGCCTTCCAGAATTACTTCCAGCGATGGAAGGACCGCTGGGCTGTGTGTGGAGTCACAAGGGGCCTACTTTGAAGGCGATTAGGTATTGTAACCACCCAGATACAGAACTTTTTTCCTGGCCCAAGGTCGGATACTTTTTGGACAGAGTAGTATATATATATAATATACAAAGAAATAGTGACTACAAGATAATAATATTAGTACTTTATCCCTCCCAACTCAGTGATCTTGAAACTTTCCATGAGAAGTTATATTACACTGCCGCAACTTACAGCGTCAGCAAACAAAGCACAGAACATAAACATACCTCTCAGTTCAGTACCACTAATGAAGGCTTATCAGTTCACATTTTAGCTACAAAACCACTGGGTACATTTCAATTAAGTCTGGTACTGGATGTACACTAAACTTGTTTGATTAATTTAATTCTGGACTTCAGCAATCTCTAAGTGTTTAGGAGTCAATAAAAGACTGCTGAATATAGAATGGAAGATACATAATTTGTTTTTGACTCCAAGGTTGTATAGCTCAAAACAATGTAATAAACTCCATGTGTTGAGAAACATTCATATTTAAAGATGGTGGTGACCCGACATGTCATTGGAAATAGACGACGACAACAAAACAACAACAACAATGGTGATAAGAGAAATACTATAAAATTATACCCTTGATATCCTCACAAAATGACATGCCTTATGGTCTATCAATCTTATTTAAATGCCCAATTGTGTAAAACTCCTGCAAAAGGTTAACTCAGAATTCCTTAGGCAGCTCTTTGAATTTTCTCTGTGCTCATAAATCAAGTCTGTTATTACTGTACAATGAGGTAATTTATTATGTGCAGTTGGATATTTCACTTCTCCAGAATAATTAGCCAGTAAAGGGAAAGCACAAGCACATACTGAAACTAAATAATAATTAGTTGAATTATTTGCAGAAAGATATGAGTACATATGTGCACTTTATAGAGGCACACAGTGGATTACAACTTGCAACTCAAGGAATGCCTTTCTGAAAAGCATCTTCCATTTTACACTGACTTAATCCAAACAAACTACAGTTGAGACCATGTTGAATTTTTCTATCTAATCTAGGATTAACAAAGAGCAGCACACTCACCGGTCAAATATTCGCGCTTCTTTCAGTACATTCCCTAGATTGATGTATGCATCCAAGAAGTTGGGATCCAGAGCAACAGCTTTTTCAAAGTGATGTATGGCCAACCAGATCTCGCCTTGAGCATTGAAGACACAACCCAGATTGCTCCACGCAACAGCAAAGTCAGGACGAGTTTCAATGGCTTTCAGGTAGCATGCCTGTATGTAGAGAAGGGTCGTGGGTGTGGATTTGGCAAAGGTAAGGAGAAGAGTTGAGTCAGACTAAAGTATATAATGGCAAGAGCAGAAGACATCCAGCGCTAGCAGTTAAATGACGCACTGCGCAGGACCTGTTCCTTCGCCACGCGTATTCCTTGAATCTCTATTTAAACGCTCACTCTGCCTGGCAGTATAGAAAATGACTTATCTGGAATTCTAAGCAAATAATTCTCACCACCTGGGCAGGAGAGAACAGTGAGACCCAGGGAAAATCTATGTTGCCAAGAAGCTGGTCCTCAAAATTAAAACTGTAGTTTATACTGCTTAATCTTGAACATAACAACAAAAAATCCCCGTTTTGAAGACAAACTTCTTAACAGTATACTGCAATGCGCTCCCTACTTGTGGAGTGACTGAGACATGTGGGCTCCACATTAATTCTGTACACAGTGCACCTTCTGCCAGGAAAAAAAATGTTTTAAACAATTCGGAATCTCAGCAGTCTCTGTATGTATGAAGTGGAGGTCAAATAGTCTCAGTCACACCAATGGACATAAAGTGGTATCACTAGTTCATGTTCTAATGCCACAAACAAGAATGACTTGGTGAGGCAGGGACATGATCACTGATCCAACTGTATGGCCACTCTGGAGAAACAAAGGCTCAACACAGCTGCCATCTTCCATACAATATTCATACCACTGCAATGAAAACAAGCATATATACATATTTTCCAAATTAGTTCAAATTTAATAGTAAAAGCAGTGGGTAACATCATTACATGCAGTTGGCAGCTATGAGGGGTGGTCGCGCAGGGTGAGTGCAGCTTGCGCAGGGGTTGCACTTAACAATCTCTGCCTAAGCGCGCAGGAAAGCAGGGCCTCACCATAAACAACACAAACACAAGTAAGTGTTTTGTTATTTGCTCCATACCCTAAAACACACAAAAAATCAGCAGCAGCATTTCATTCTTGGTTGTATATAGAAAAGCCAGTCTCCTTTAGGAAGTTTCTTTTTAAAACAGATTGTCAAATTTTATCTTCTCAAGCTATGTGATGAAAGTTAAGAAGTACTGAAATCATATAAGGGAATTAATTTGCTCTTTTAAATCATAAACAATATATTTTGTATGTACCATACAACATCCTAAATTACTAGTTACTTCTGAGTAGTCTGTTGGTTTGTATATTCAGCATGCAGAATTACGAAATACAAACTTCAAATAAAAATGTTCATGCACCATGCATGCCCCAAAATAGAAGATATGTTCCATGACATATAAACACCATTCAATTTCGAGGATAATGTTAAGGTGAATCTAAAATAAGCAAGATAGAAGGGTGTGGATGTGGCTTGGGAAAGGGACTAGTTACAGGTTCTTGCGAACATGATAATGAACCTGTTAGATCCACTGAGAGTGGAACATTTTTTTGACCAGCTTACGGAATACTTAGCTTCCCAAAAAGGGCCCTGGTCAATGGAGTGGATAAGTGTGTGCAGAGTAATTTTTAGGTAAAAGAAGAAAATGTTCATAACATTCAAGTATAATGAGATAAGATTAACAGGATTAATGAAAATAAATGCAGATTCTATCAAAGTACGTGACAAAAAAACAACAAAGAGATTAGAGAAGTTACAGAGGACAAACAGCCTTCCCACTATTTCCTTTCCAAGATGATTCTTGAGACACTGCATTCATGAGCCAGGGCAGCTAGAACATGAATGATCAGGGTTTGATTCCTGACAAGTGGGGCCAACACATCTTCCTACCCAGTGGGCACAGGGGCTCAAGAGTTTACTGCTGAAATTAAGAATACATGAAGCTGCGATATCAACTCCCATATATGTGCATGGCACAGTGCTCAGGTACAAAGCCCACTTCATGTCCTCCTGTGGAAATACTTTCTTACTTACTTTGCTCGTCTATTCAACAGCTGGTCATGAACAATGGCCCAACAACAGACAATAACCCTAGCAGGGATGTGATAAATGACATTCTAAAGAATTAGGTGCATGGGTATATGGCAAATACCAAAGTCTGGCCAGGAAATAATGTATATGAACAAGTGAAAACACTGTTGGAACGTATCACAGTTTTTCTTCAAAAATATATTTCAAATAGTGAAACACGTGAAGCAGTCTTAATGTTTTCATGGAAGTTTCAATCAGATTTTGTTCCCATCTTGGAAATTGATCCTGTGCTGTGCAGGACTGCTTTCCTGAGATGGAAGGTCACCAGCTAAATCTGGCCTGGAATGCAACACTAAAGGCACTGAAGCTACAAATAATGACAATGAACATAAGAAGCCATAAAACACTAAGTGATCCAAATAAAACAGCCTGGCAAAGCATCCTTGTTTTTCTACCTGCTGTCAAAATAAAAATTAGAAAACTGACCCAACAAGGAACATATACTGATTTGCTTCCCTGCTGGTCACACAGCCATAAATTCAAGTACAGAATTTCCCACTATCACATAGTCTGAATTATGAATACTGGAATCAAGCTCCTCTTCTGTTACTTCACATACAGTGGTGATGACCAAGCTCTCCTAAACATTGGTAAACCAGCCCATGGTGTCAATACCAAACCAAACAATATAAGCAGATGAAAATCTTATGCTTACACATGTCTGGGTACAAATGGTATTTGTATAATTTGTGGTAACACACTAGGATTAATAAAACACTGCGCACGTTTCATGATCAAAACACTATAAGACTGGAAATGGAAAGCAAAAAATACTCTGACACTGTTTCTTACTAGAAGCTCCTTCAGTACAGAAGCCTACACAAAAAGAAACTGCAAACCTCAGGCTGCTTCAGCTGGAACACATACTATCCTGTGGTCTTACTATAAAAGTTTAATAAACAGAAATGAAAAATTTGCTTTGAGATTTATGCCATGTAAAGGCTTTTTCTACAATGACCAACGTTTGACAAATATGATAAAGATCAATTTGGGCTTTCTCTGACATAGGGGTTAAGTAACTGACCGCTACAAACTATGATCAAATTTGTGCAACAATTTTCACTCTGGATACTGATACTAAATTTCATCACAATCTCCTGAGCAGTTTCTGTAAATGGGTTGGAAAAATCTTCTCATTTGTAACCCTCTCACGCATTTTGTACAAAAATAAATAATTTTAGCTGACCCACGAAAATAACCAAATCTTGTGGAAATTGCATCTTCCTTTCAACCCCTAAAACAACTGCTACAAATATGACATGAAACAAGGCTTTATCATGATTCTGAAAGAAAATAGGAAATTCTGAAGTAAGGAATAGAGAACTTGTATAGAAGTGTAAGGTTACAGCGACAGTCAGCAAAGAATAATTTATTGTACACACAAAACTACAGCTTGAGAATTTATAGAAACCAACTCACTTCAAATTTTTACTGTGGAACACAGAATTTTACAAGCATTCTTAAAATTTGCAGCTTGTAGTTTCAAATTTGTCATGCGATATGGGTCTTCAACTGAGACCCAACACTGGAGTCAGGTGGATAAGACACCTAACTCACATTCAGAAGGTTGCAGGTTCAAGTACTAGCCAGAAGACAGAGTATCCTGACAGAGATTTCTCATGATTTTCCTTTGTCCATCCAGGTAAATACTGGATCAGTAATGTGATATGGTTGAACTGCTTAACAAGAGATGTCATCCATTGCTAGGCAATGGCACAATAAGAATGATACGTCACTGTCATTGCTATGCACAATAAATATACAACAGAAAGATTGTTGGAGGCGGTGTTTTCTGTGCAGTCTGGCCTGAGGCTATATAATGAGTGTAGTGGCTCAAATTTGGGATTGGAAATTTAAGTCATTACCTAAGTGTCTGGAGACCTGCGAAAAGTGTTTCACAGCTATTACAGTAATCTGTCAACACCTGGGCAGGAACTAGGCTAAGAATGTGATGATCAGCATTTATGCGTAACCGCACTAGCAACAAGCTTGCCTCACTAGGCCACTGGAGTATCGTAATATTACCGCATAAACAGCGATGAGACGCCATGGGCCTGCCCACAACCACCAATAATAACCAATTAGAATATCACTTTGGGAATTGAGGACACTGAGGAGGAGTTAACTACCCTCTGTCGTCAACAGCTGAATTAGCAAATTAAAACTATAAATTACTGAATTTCGAGGGACTAGAGATTCTGATTTAACACAGAATATGGAGTTGTCAGCCGGAGGCGCTAGTCGATATGTGTGCCACAAGGTGGTGGATGGCGACAGTTATCTACATTTGTATTACAAGTAAGTCTTATTGCTCATATACGCCATGCTGTTAAACATTAGTGTTGATAAAAGTGTTGTTGTGTGATCTTAAGTGCAGTCTCCAGTGTACCCCAGCGAGAGCCAGGGTAGAATAGGGTAGAAATGGAGTAGAGGGTAACAAGCAATGAAGGGAAGCAACAATCTCACGGTACCTCCCCCTCAGTCAGAGAAATTAGGAAGAGCTTAGCGAGAAGTGTTAGGTAAACCGGCCAAAGCAGGCCCTTTTTCTTAATGTAAATATTGATGTAAATAGACAGTGTACAGAGGATAGGATGTACGCAGGGAGTTTTGATTCACCCCTTCCTAACCACCTGTCCTCGTCCGATCCCGAGCGACCAGAACCAAGACAGCCGACAGCAGCCGAGGCCCGCGAAGATGTTAGCTAACTGGGCAGCGACAGACTAAAGTAAGCATCTTTTCTCACCCCCTCCCCCTGAGGTGTAACAAAGTGGTGGCAGCGGTGGGATATCTCCACGCCCCCCTGCTCCGCGGCATAACAGTGGTGGCAGCGGTGGGATAACTCCACGCCCCCCCTGCGCCACGACGTTACAATGGGAACCAATGGGAAAGGGAAGTCTCTCTCTCTTGGCTGTGCGGAGGCGGGGCCGAATACCTCCACCGTGACCATGCGAGTCATAGGAGGCAAGGAAAAGGGAAGTCTCAAATCTGAGACAGTAAAATATGGTCGCGAGTTTCAAGGGACTCGGACC